AACTTCTAGATGTAGGTGTTCTAGACATATACTTTCTTCTTACCAGAGTCTGAGATCCCACAAGCTACACCAAACTGTTAACACAGAACTGCCTTCATAAACATGGCAATTTTATACAGCCTGATGAACATGGCCACTGAAACAACACTGAGGTACCTGAAACAACCAGGACTGCGTGAATTTGCACTGACAGACTTCCATCTCTGTCTTGGTTCTGAAAAGCATTTAAAAGCAGGATTCTACCCTCCACCTGCAAAAGGCATGTGGAAACCCCAGCCAACAGCCAAACTAAGTTTGTCTTCTGAAGTTCTCCCCACTCCTATCCCTTTCTTTCATGAAGATACAGCACATGAAGTCAGTGAGACTTAATGTCAGCTGAATGCTCTCACTACACAGTACGCTCCATCCTTACATGAATAAACCCTTGACTTTCAAAATGAGAAAGGAGCACAACTTACCATCTAGTAGTTCTAGAGTAACTGAGGGATCTACATATTCCCACCAGTGTTTTCCATCAGTTGATACTGGAATCTCCCAGTTGGACCACTTGCAGGCCAAGTGAATGCACACACATGCTATCACTGTGGGCTTGTACTGAAGACAGAATGTGGTAAGGTGAAGGCTGTTGCACACATTTCGTAATGAGGAACCAAAGGAAATCAAACATGTAAAACAGAAAACCCAAACAAATCGACCATTAACATACAGAATGAGGTAGCTTGTCAATCAACAGCAGTTAAAACATTTTGTTGACTAAGTTCATAAGATATCCTACTGCCCTAAGAAAACAAAGGGCAGGGCATTTATCTAGTAGAAAAGTTTAATTTGATTTTGCTATCAAAACCCTGATGAACAGTAAATAAATTTACCAATTATTCTACTGTACTTAAGTACTAAAAAGGGCAGTATAATATGGTGAATTAAAATTCTGTAGTATAATGACTAGAGCCAATTGTGCAGTCTCTGAATGAGACAGTCAGAAGGTCCCCAGTAGTTCCACAGCAGCCAGGTCAGTTATCTGTGGGCTTTGCTTTCACCAGGACTGGATTTGTGACATTTGTGATGTTGTTTTCAGCTTCCAGCACCACAAACACATTGGTTCACTTTCACTGCTGTAGCATAACTTCTCTTAACAGCTGCTTAAGTACAGAATCTTGCCCATCAAGGAACCACCAGGATTTATTTATTTATTTTAAACAGTTCCAATAACTAGCAGATAATGTTTAAAAATGTTATCTACACATAATGTAATTCTCTTAAATAAAGGTTAAAGTTTTGCAAGAGGCAAATTGAAGTAATCAAGACTAAAGTCTGCTCTCTAATTCTTTCTATGACAGGCTATGTGTACAAAACACCCACTTGGAATCCTAGAACTATAAATTTATCTAAGTACTTAAGTTTTAAAACTATATATTAAGATTAAAGAGCTGTTTCTAAAAGAAATAACATTGGGCTAGTACTAGTCTATCTAAAAAGAAAAATCAGCTAGTTGAAAATATCTTAGGCCCACTAGAATTTTATACGTTAAGACTGAATCAATATACTTAAAATTAAGAGAAAACTGCCATTAACTACAAGTGTAAACTAAAAATAGTTTTGTACTTACCAAGATGCTCGGATTTCTAGGTTAAGTTTATCTCTTTGTAATCTTTAGCTGCTATTCAGGCTACCAATTTTAGACTTATGCACTCACAATCGAGAAAAAGTCATCAGAAAGCACCACTACACTTCTCATTGTGCATTTAAGCCCTTTGTGCCGTCAGGCCCTTGTCCAATACACCGCACTGCAGGCGGGGAGGTACCACCACTGGAGGTGGCCCAGTCCCCCACTGCAACAAGGGTAAGACACATCAGGGGGCCCTGCAGTAAAGGAAGCTATAGTGTGCTACAACAGTGCAACAAAGAGGTTCAGGATAACAACCTGTTGGTAGCCATGAAATAGGATGTCTGTGCCAAATCCTTGCTTGCTGTAAGAAAAGAAAAACAAGAGAGATTAAAGATCTGCACTAATTTGTCACGTTCATTCCAAAATTCAAGCAGTTTTACCTTCCAAAAATTACTGCTGGGTATTTCTAAAGTACTGATCTGGCTTTAGCTAACCAGCCTTTAAAATACTCTTTTCTGAGACACAGAAGACTGAGACACACTCAGCACTGGAACTGGACCTGTCATTCCCTTCAGTGCCCCTCCCTCCCCCTGCACATCCCACAGGACAGCTCCCCTCCAACAGCTGACAGGTGAGCACTCTCCTCTGGGAAGCACTGCTTCCCCACCCTCACCTGCAGGGGATCCCTGCTTTGAGCTGGGAGAGCAGCAGGCAGTCAGTCCCAGCCAATTCACAGCACAGTGCTCGATCTGCTCTTGGAATGGGGCAGGACACCCTCCCACCTCCCCAGAAACAGCCACGTCTCTCTCCCAAAGCCCTGCAACACAGCCAGCCCCCAAGCTATGTGGGAAAAAAATTCAGTTTTCTGCTCCTTCTAATTAAGAGCACTGTAGTCATAACATTTTGCTCCATATTTGTTAAATCTATGGCAAGGCTTCGATAGGGAACGGACAAATTCATTTGAGTTAGTCAGAAAAAAAATACCAAAACAAACCACAGGACTGCAACATGCCAGAAATGAAAAAATGACTTGGGCTGTTACAGCCACAGAGTGCTGACCCCTAGAGTGACACCCCAATGCTCCTCACTCAGGTAAGAGAACTTACTGTAACATGCATTTAATGGAATAGCTGGGCACAAGGGGGTTAACCGCAGATTGAATGCAGCCTTCATTGAATTCTTACTTTGACACTATCACTTGAAATCAGTGCTACCTGCAGAAAGCGTAGTGTTGAATTTTATGTCAAAGGGAATACTGTTAAACTTTTATTTTAATAATATTGCTAGAAAGTTTGAGAAATACTACAGTGGCTTTTAAATTTAGTTTTTAAAAAGCATATTAAAATGTGATATAACTCAACTTCTAATAATTGCCAAGGAATAAAATTCAGATTTGTCTTTATGCTACACAGCCAGGAAGTGCCAGTAATCTAAGAAGAATGTGGAAGTTGCAAGGTAATAGGATCTCTTCCTACACACAAATTCTACTAATCCATAATAATCAGGTGAACTGACAATGTGTTATGCTATAATATTTTGTTTGCACCCTGCAATGGTAACTGCACGCCAAAAATCCAAGGAGTTCAACCTCTTCCTCTCATCTAAAAAAAAGTAAGGTGGAATCACCAAAAAAAAAAAAAACAAAAGAAAAAAAAAAAAAAAAAAAAAAAAAAAGAAAAAAAAAGAAAAAAAGTGAAATGAGAGTCTTAACAAATAAAAATACACAATGGTTGATGGTTGAGTAAGACTGAAATTCTGAAATTGATGTCTTGCCCTTCATTTTTCATCAAAGCAATGCCTAAAGGATCTTCAATATTTTATACACTCTGTAAAGTTACATGTTGGAATTAAGGGACCAAGACCAAGAAGCATCTCTACTCTCACTGCAATGTCCCTTCTGAACAAGGAAGAAAAGCAGATGCCAGAAAACTTCTATTTAACATCAGCTTGAAAGATGAGTAAATCAAAACACATACCTGGAAGAAAAGAATCACATCTTGAAACACACACTTTAGCCTCAATCAAAAATTACTGTCCTAAATACCTTACCTATACTAAAAGTAGTATGATTCTGTTTCAATTTATTTACAGCTAAATAATAATCATTGCCAAAACCAGCAAGAAACTTTGATTAAAAAAAAAAAAGCTTTGATAAAGCCTTTGATAACACAAGGCACAACTGAAAATATCCATCCCAAACTCTATGTAGGGCAGCTTTGGTTCAGCAGAATCCATCAATGAAATTAAATCTAATGAATTTTGGTTCCTATATTTTGGTGGTTTATTTCCATTATAGTAGTGGAAAGTGCATCTCCAAAAGTTAAATCCTCTTGAAGCAGGGTCTAAAACAAGCCAACAGAGCTGCTCTTATAACTCACAAGCCGCAGGACCGATGGCTACGACACCAGCCATGAATGACCAGTTTTAGATTTTAGCATTCAGGAGTGATTTAAAACATCCATCCTGTCTCACTGCTGCAGAAGCAGCCATAAGACAGGGATTAGTGAAATAGTCATCAATATTTTGGAACAGGACTTGCTGTCTGACACACCTTCTGAGAGGCTGTCTCCAAGGAACTGCCATCTGGAAACCAAAATGCTTTTTACTGGGCATAGCCACTCAATTCACTGCTTGCAGTTCCAAGATACCTGAATCTTTTCTTCAACACAGCTTATCTTGGATCTTGGGATGCTCATGAAAACGTGACTGCCAAGTCCCCATTAGGACTGGCATAGCTACTATGTAGCTGGTAGCTGGCTATGCCTGGACCCAGACAACATGTGAGCATTCCTTGGAAAGAGGAGATTGCAGGTAAGCCAGTCAGCATCAGAAGAGAGAAGCTTGCTGAAGTCCTTCTGGCAAAAGCAAAAAGCCCCAGGCTCTGAACTGAGGGATGCTGGAGGGTGCCTGTTGTATCTGGAAAGGGCTGGAGGAGGCCATGGTGTAGGCATTCAGGTCTGAGCAGTCCTGGTGGCTTTATTTCTTGAAAGTATTTAAAGCTTGGGAACAGGCCCACAAAAACCTGAGGTCAAAGTTCAGAATGGGAAGGCCACCTGTAGCAAGTGCTGGAGTGCAGCTGGTGTTTCACATCTTTCCACACCACTAAGATTCAAATTTTCCTCATGCGAATACCCTCTGAAAAAGCTGATGCATTTTCACTCCTCTTCTGCTGACTTTGTCTTTCTCAGTCTGATTTAAGCAGTGGCATCTGCACACAGATATTATGGGATATTTGAAGGATTTGACAGTGCAATTTTCACAAAAGATTAGTAAGGATCATGGGTGTTCAAGATACCTGATAACCTGCAGAGTAGCGAGAACAATCCTAGAAATCCATGAGCTCTCATCTTCAGTTCCAAAAGCTTGTGTTCCAACACAGAGAAAGGAGTGACGGAAAACTTCCCAAGATGGAAATGAGGATACTGATTCCAAGTTTCACCAGAAGCAGGCTGAGAACAGACTGATTTTGCACCAGTGTAAGAGGACCATGCCACAATCTTGGCACCAGGGCGGTTTCACTGCTGATCATTCAGCTAGTGTTGGAAGGCAGCAAGGGTCAAAACCAGAACAGTTTTTGGTATGGTTGTTTTTCCCCTCTTCTTTCTTCCTTTCTTCTCTTCACTACTGGAGCATTCTTGGAATGGACACTGAAGCTTGCTGACAGGCCCTCACATATCCACTGTGTTCAGATTCCTTGGACCTGTGGGATCCTAAGGAATGATGGTCCTGTCTCCTCTTCTCAGTCTCTTGACACTGAGGAAGAATGGTGCAGAAAAAATACTAAGCCCACACCATTTTCCTTGTCTGCTATACTGACCAAACTGCAAAGATGGAACAATTTCATTAACCCATGAGTCTCTGAACACTAGAAGGAGTAACTAGGTATTGTATGCCTGAACATCATGAATCATTATCTATCCATCCAGTCACCCCTTCTCTGCAATGATCTAATTGTTGTCTAATAACACCTTCAAAAAGGCTTTCAATTTTAGAGAAGAATTCATATTTTCTTTAGTTGTATGTTGAAGCAATTATATTTATTTGCACCAACTCCCACTTACTAGGTCATCTTCAGCTTCCAGCCAGTTGTGCCACTGCCAGATTAGACAGTCTTCTGACAAAGGACTTGGTTGAGTTTTTTGAGCATCATCAACACAACCTGAGTTTTTATTTTTCATTTTGTTTTTAAAGGTAATAGCTTACAGCTTAATAACAGGTAACAGTGGCTGCATAAAACAAATTACCCTGGATGCAAGACAGCAAAAAGTGATGGAGAGAATCGGCCATCCTCTGAGGCACTGCAGTTTGGTCAGCCAAAGGGCCCTTTCCCACCACCTGACAATGCAGGACACAAACCCTAAAGCACACTTGCAGACCTCAGCTAACCTTGCTGCTTCTTTTTCGGTACTCAGTCAGACATTACATTCCTCCCTTCCTCCTCTCTCCAAACATGCAGTTGGAAGTTTTAATCATAACAGGCTTGGGTAAGTTAATAATCTTTATTCAAAAAAGGTTTCTCTGCCTTCTGAAATGGTGTTTTTTGTCCAAGATGATGTTAGCAGAACTGGATGAAGTAACCTTGAATTTCTTTAACTTCTCAGTCAATCCCTTTAGCACTAAAGATTTAACACTGACAAATCCCAGGTATATTTTAAAAGCTTCAGGACTCAGATATCTGAGTGTTGCATCTACTGACATTGAAAACCCACACTGTCCAATAAATAAATGTTCAAAGACAGAAAACTAAACTCCTACCACTGTGTTCTTTGAAGATAATCACAGTGCCCATGGGCCCGTGTCCCTGTCCCCTCAACACATAAAACCAATGTTCCATGGCAGTTATTCTGTCCTTGTTTGACTTGCATGCAGGACTTCAAATCTCATGCCTGAAGTTTTAAATGAATTAATTAGTTTCCTTTTTCTTATTTTAATATGAGGTACTCCAATCTTGTGTTCACAGTCTATACCATTCCTAGGGACATACTCCCAAGGATTCCAGGCACACACACACTAAGGAGCACATGTCCCACAGTGAGCAGAGTTTGAACATCAGAGACATTCACTGTGCACTAGTCCTTGAGCTACACGGATTTTCAGCCCTCACTGAAGTCTTCAGATTTCAAGACTTGATATCACTTTAGACTTCTAAGTATTTTTTCAAGTCTTCTGACATTAAATAGTAGCTTAAAGATGTCAAATTAAAAAATTCACAGTATCTTCAAAGTATGAACTTTGTCAATACAAAAAATTAGCTTACAAAACACAAAGGGAAAAGCTGAACTGCCTTAGAGTGGTATCCACCCTTATGAAGGAAATCCAGTTTGTGTAGCAGTGTCCCTGTGGGCTTGAGTGACACACACTGATGTGGAAATCCTGAGGAAACACAACATTCCCCCGCTCCTCCCCACAGCCCCAGACACCAAACAGAAGCACAGGGTCTCCCCAAGAGAGCAAAACATGCTCACATTTTCAGTGACCAACAGCTAAGAAAAGCCAAAGCAAAACCCTACAGAGCAGCTGGTGCAGACTACTGAGGTGCAACTGGAGTCATGCACCAAGTTACAACCAAATCTGGGCACAAAGTGGAGAATCATTATCTTACAGCAAGGAGAGCAACAGAACTACTTTATATGCAAGTAAGTTATAGCACCAGCACGACTCAGTGTGCAAAGACACTCACCAGGAAGCTACAGCAAATAAGAGACACTCTTCCTTAAAGAACACCATTAATTCCAGAGTTACTACAAACTAAATCTAGTTGACAGGGTTAGGCTGTACCTAACTTTTATATACTTTATAAAGGGAGAAGAAAAAACACCAAAACTTAGAAGCACTTATGCATTTTTCACTGCAAAACCAGCTAATGACTAGAGACTAACAACCACGGTCTAATTATTTCAAAACACTTTTTACTTAAGAAACATGATTAAAATGAAAAGCTTACAACTGATCCTTAATTTTTTTCATCCTACATCTTATAAGAGGGTGTTTTAATATTTTTTAAAGCTCCAAAACAAATCAATTCAAGAATTAAAGAAGATGTGCCAAAATGCCACAAAAAAACAGAGAACAAACCAGGTTTCTAGCCAATCACATTAATGAGCTGCAGACAAGTTACAGGATATGTTTAACTAAAGGTCTGGGGTTTTGTGCTACCATCCAAAACAAGTAAGGACACACTGCTACAGAAAAACAATTAGCCACACCTATTTGCATGTGACAGCAGACTTGCTGTGCACTCTCTTTATCCCCTTAGTCCATTACCTGAAAAGATTTGTTAAGACAAAAAGCTGGCATTAGCCATCAATGGGCAAAACTACTTCAGAGTGAAAATTATCAGCTCAGAGCGATACTATGGATGTGGCCAATCAGTTTGCAGCTGCTGATTGCTTCTTTCATTCCAGAACACATGGAACAGGTACTGTTAAAATCAAAGCTAATAAGCAAAGAAAAAAAAATATGGAGGACAGAGGACTAGGCTCTTTATGACTCTCTAAAGGTAAACATCAAACTTTTAATAATTAATTTAAAACATACTCTTTGGATAACATAGTTGGTGAAATATCATATTAGACAAATAACATTACTTTCAGATTTTATTAGAAAGGTAAAAAAGGACTTACGGAAGTGGTTAAAAGTCACTGACCTCTCACTAACTGTGTACATTTCACAACATCTGTGTGTGGATGTTCAATGGTAATCTCAAAACCTGAGGGGTTACAAATACATTTTAGAATCATACATTGCATCTGTAAAGAAAAAGCAAACCCCTTATGTTTCCCCACAGATCTAAAATACTTGCTAAACCTTTGCACTGTAGAATAAGTAACACAATTTAAGTGCCTTTTATTCTTTATCTTTTCGCATTTTTGAATGGCAGATGGTAAAGCCACTTTGTAATCCATCACTAAAATATTCCTCCAGTAATCTCAAATCCTGGACACATATCACCTGGGAAATGACTATCTTTTTAAAGCTGAATGTATCTGAACAATTTCTAGCACGTTAATAAGTCAGTAAAAACTGTACTGCAAACACAATGAAATATGTGTGTGCATGTATACTTTTATTAATTGATTTCTAGCACTTAAACACGTTACATGTATGAAATTAGAAATTAAGTCAATTTGTACATCAGTGACTAAATAAACCCTTCTAGGTTTATGACACTGTTTTAAGAACTAGGTCACTACTGTGAGCTATTTTTTTAACAATACCCCAAGTGGTATTTAAAAATATCTGAGCAAGTCAGTGTTCTCAGGCCTCTGGCTGTAATTGTCTCTATGGTATTTTAGTCAGAAGAGTGTCTTGACAGAACATTTCACTTCAAATTTTGGAATAATCTGAATCCATTAAATGGTTACATTACAACTTGTTTTCTTCAGAGTCAGCACCTGTTCAATTACATAATGTTCTTCTACGGAAAGGCAGAATGGGGAAGAGCACTGGGTACAAAGCTCTTTCCAACTGCTTCAGGACATGCACAGCCAGCCTACTACACCATGTTACCTTATGGGAAGAAATGTCATCGTAATTACTGCTTGGAGTAAAATCTATTTGGAAGCCTACACATTTCTAACTCAAACTGTCAGAAACATCTCTTTCACAAGTACAGACACACCCTTCTTCTCCATAGTGAACACAAAACTAAATTCAGAAGTTACACAGGGAAACAGTTAAATTCGAGTGTACCAATAGCACATCAAAAATCCAGTTATTTGGGTCCCACTAGCTCTTCATGGCAAGCTGGCTGCACAGGAGGTATTTAGAAAGACATACCTAAAGTTTGAAGCATTATTGTTTCAAGTATAACCAGCTCTTGGGCTTGTTGAAGGTATGCCTGAAACAAACAAGCAGACAGGTGAAGACACAGCAATCATTGCCTCAGAACTTCACTCACACACTGCCCCTCTGGTGCAGCACCGGTACCCAGGCCAGTGAGCACTGACAAGTCACAACACTTCACACGGGGTTACTTTCTTCCACCAGTACCACACTGCTACAAATTCAGTTGCACCTGCCTGCCTTTCACAAGATTAACTTAGTCTGGATCCCAGACAATCCAATAGACAATCTATTCCAGCAAAGCATTTTTGGGAGGTCAGGTGGGTGCTGTAAGAATTTCAAGATGGAGCAATCTCTTCAAGTTTCATAACAAATAAGTGAGTCATTAAGAAACTGCATTAAGTAATAGAAAGACTTAAATGGTATAAAAACAAAGGCTTTTCTTCCTAGGCTGCAGAGAGCAATATTCCAGTAAGACAATGTAACAAATCATTAGATGAAATGTCATCTTTCAAACCATGTATCTTTGAAACCGTAACTTCCACCTACATCACTCTTTGTATCCAGTTGTGGCTCTTGAGGATGAAGACAGGCATTTGCTACTTTAATAACATGTTCAAGTTTCCGTGGCTGTTCTTCCACTTTTGCAGCCAAAAACAATGCCGTGGGAGACATTATCTGAAGAAGAAAAACATGTGTATTTTTTAACTTTTTACAAGCAGGACTTGAATTTTTATGGAGTCTAAACTAGCACAGAAAAGGTTTAAGAAGTTGGATTTGTGGCTTTTTTTTCAGTTTTGAAGTCATGCAAGGCAACAAAAATATAACTAGTCATGTTTTATTTTGTAATTGATGCAATCCTCTCAGCAGCACAGGGAAGGAGTAGCATAATGTTAAATTACATTTGTGAGTAAGATGTCTGAGGTCAAACTAATTCTAGTGCAACATAACATATTTTGGCCCAGAAGACTTAGTCACAGTAGAACAGCCTGTTTCAAGTTAAATATACCTCATGAGAAAGTTCATCAAATTTCTTGCACAGAGCGAGTCACTACACCATCTTTTCAGTAAAACAGCTGATCACAAGTTCTGGGAGCATTTAATTCTCCCAACGAGTGAGAAACTTTGCAGAGAACTTTAATAAAAACAGCTTGTTATATAAACACAGGCTCTACAAGTAAAAGAAACTTCATATATACACATATATTCTTAGAAACTTTACTATATGCCCAGCAGTATCTGGGGAACAAAGCATAAGGATTTGTAAAACACCAGTTCTATCAAATGTTAGTAAAGATTACACATCACATTTAAAAATGAAAATTGATATCAAACACTAGGTGCCATAGGGTGGCAGTTCAGTATCACCTAAGAGTGAAGTACAATTTTGGTGCCTGTTGTCAGCTAGAGTGACTGATGTCTGCAGACAGAACACAGCAAACCACAAACCACTGATGAATTAGGTTCTCTTTGCATGCAAAAGGTGCCCATGTTAAGCAGGAATTAAAACAGTACTAGAAATCATCTAGACATAAGCTGATTTAAATAGTTAAAATTAAGCGAGTATAAAGCATTTATTCAGAGACTGAAATAGCTCCTTGCTGAGTATTTAATTAATGCATGGTGCAAGTAGTGCAAGTATTGGATTTCTCACTCAATGCCCAAATAGAACTAGGCTAAATCGGAGGCATAGCTCTCCTGAAGTCAGACTTGCTTTTTTTGCCAGTAAGCAGCCTTTTTTTATACCAAAATGAAACATTTGGTATAAAAATTTACAATATATGCAAAACTGCAACAAACTAATTAAACATTTAAGGAATTAAATTTCAGAAGCTTTCAAATGTATTAAGAGTACTTTTTGCATCCTTAAATCACTTTGAAATGTGTGCTTGGATCTTAACTAAATCTTTAAAGTTGGCAGACTTGAAAATTGACACCCTGGTAAGGCAATACCCTTTGATGAGTAGAAGTGTGCATGAGAAATCTAGCAAAAATCTCAGTCTATAAAAACCAACCACCCAAAACAAGTCACAGGGAGCAAATTCTTTTACAAGGGAGACAAGAACCCCTATTTTCTTTTTAAGAATCTTGTAACCTAAGCCTGATGAGCAAATGAAATAAAAACCCAAGGTGAAGTGTTGCTGAACAAGGCCATATTAGCACTGTCATTTAATACTTCTGATGATTCTGTAGAAGTTCCTATCCCCATTGCTTGAAGTAATGATTTGAAATTCTGGAAGGGATTTCCTTTGCAAAGGACATACTACTTGAAATGTGTCTCACATTGGGAGATAAAACTTTTTAAACAGTAAATATGATGGAAACACTTTCTGGAGTTCAGAAAGAGAGAGTATCAACAGCTCTGACGTGGCAGAAAATGCAGAAGATGTCAGGCAGCACACACAGGCATAACCCAACACACACATGTCATATAAAGGTATTTTACAAAACTCAATTTTCAACAACTGCCATGGCTGAAAACCTTTCCATTTCACAGAGGCATTATTTGAACCAAGTCACCAATGACCACCCAATTAAATCATCAGCAAATTCTCACCCACTGTTACTCTGTGTCTGACTGCACCAAAGTTCTACTTCTTTCCAAAAAAGCACCATCAGGCTGACTTCAGGATCTCTTCTGATTTACTGAAGCAGATCAGATCTGGCCAAGAAGTCTCCACACAATTCCTGATCTCCAAGAACTTACACAAAACACAGCTCTGGAGGCTGATTAAGTCAAGCTGATTATAACTGTCATATAACTCTGGTCCATCAGAAATCTATACAGCCCAATTAACTAATTCCTTCAAAAAGATGTGCTGGCTTCTGGCCAGAGAATTTCAGCTCTTTATCCTATCTAGGACAAGGGTTCTCACTTCCAATTTAGAGTAGGCCATTATTTTTAGCTCTCTTGGTATTGATTCAGAAAAATAGACATCCTAGTAAAATTCCAGACTTGGCACAAATGTAGTCTTCAGTGAACACACCCTGCTAAGTGTTTAACTGGCAAAGTTACTCAAATGCTTTCATTCATTTCCAATTACCAAAAATGGCAAAAAACCCAAGCAAAGTAGAACAAAAAAAGCAAAATTAAAGAAACTTGACAAAGCAATAGTGTATGTCCTATATATAAATAAATTAATATAAATCAAAATAATTTAGAGTAATTATACCATGCACCCCACACAGTCTTTGAGAAATCTTCAGAACACATGTGATACATGACATTAAATCCCACTTTATTACTAGCCAAGTCCCACAGAAATAGGAAAAATCCCCAAAACGTAAGAGTCTTGTTTACACAAGCCAAAAGCATTATACAGCAAGTTTCATTGGGAACTGTGGTACAAGTCCTTTTTTCACTTAAAAAGTAAGACAGTGTAATGACCAAGGCACTCAGAAAAATCTCAGAACACATCAGCAGCATGCATGTAGTTTTCTGGGGTCTCGCTCTCCCTTCCAATGCCAATGTTAGTATGTTTTTAGACTGATACAGTTTAGCCTAAGACATTAAGTGCTTCCAGTCTATGAGAGGGTTTTCAAGTTTGAACACAAAGAGCTGTGAGGAATTTTTTTTTATTGTAACCAGGAGCTCACACTGCATAAAAGCAGCAAATATGTTAAATTGCACTATTAAAACCAGAAATGAAGTACCCAAAACAGCCTCACTAGAGCTTGAAGCTTATTATGAAAGTTTCAGGAACTTTGCAAAACTGCAAAGTCAACTGTCTAATACTGTGATTTGGACAAAGCACAAGGAAGGGAATGCAGAAGGACTGGAAACAAAACACCCTCCACACAACTTACCTACCTGGCACTTGAAGGAAAGCAATTCTTCATGCAGCCTTCTTTAGGCTCTTCACTAAACTCCACTGTATGTGGAGTTACAAGGATTGTAAGGATTATATTAAAAAACTACAGCTCCCATTTGGATGCCTTACCTCTCATTGCCAGCATATGAAAGATCCCCCCCTTTCTGTTCTTCAAATCACAGTGTACTGAAGAATAAGCATCTAAAAGAACTATTTGCTATATAACAATGTAACACACCAAGTACTATAGAAACAGCATTTGCAGAATAATTTTTAAGATATTTTCAAGTATAATAGTGAGGCTAGGACTGCCTATAAAAAGCCAGCAAGCTCCCTCCCTATCCCAATATTAGCTCAGACTAACTTTATACTCAGCAACCCAAAGTTCCTATGTCCTGGTCAGGAATGTAGAAATAATCTGGGCTGAGGAGATCCACAGGAGCTCCTGTCATTTGCACAGCCAGGGAAATTAGTAGTCAGGGCATCCAATTCTGCTTCCCAGAATTGGTAAAGCAAATTTCCATCCTCACTGGGGCACAGTAACCTTGTGAGGACTTTGCCTGCCTTGACTGCAACATCCACACCTCAATACTTTCTTCTTTACACCAAAATGCATATACTCAGTAGGTAATCCAGAGCAACCCATAAGTGACTTGCTAGCTCACAGGAACTTCACAAAAAAGGAATATTTGGCCAATAAGCAGTACATGTAATACATTCCCAATGAACCCAGACTACATTAACTGGTACATGCCACCCCTGTGGCTTTACAGATTGAAGATACTGTTGGGAATTCTGGTCCCTGTTCACAGATGACTGAAACTCCTGAAAGCCTGTAAAATTGTTTAGCAGTAACTTATACTGAAGAAAAAACCCATAAATTAAGACAATAACTATTCAGCAACAGAGCTTCCATTAGAATGCCTGTTTGTTAACAATTGAGTGCATGTCACATACCTGACATACATGTGTATTTGTATAACCTGGCAGTTACACATGATGATAAATGTACAAGTGCTTATTACCAGACTAAAAACATTCATCTACCAATAAAAGAAGTCAACACAGGCCCACATTTTTTCAGCTGAAGATCATAAGGCATTCTGACTAATGGCCAGCTAATTTTTTAGCCCCAGCATTCAGATTCCTTCCTGCCATGGATAAACAGCACCACGTGCACACAACAAAGAAATATTAGAGATATACTGATATGCTGCATAGGTCCTACCTTTGAGACTGCCAGGACCTTACTATTCCTTTCTAAGGATTACTTCCTTCTTGCAGAGATGAATACTGTTACATTTTTTAGCTTGCCAAGTACTCTGGAGATTTGATATTAAGTATTTATTAGAGTTCTTGGCTTTTGCTTTCTCTACACAGGACCTAATGGATGGTTTGGGATTGTTTTAAAAGTGACTCCATTCACTGAGACCCTCTTTGCCCTACAGAATTGTAAAAAGAAGATGCTCTTGCCCATCAGCACATAGACAAAGCCACTCTCTGGCCTTATACTCATTAAGAATTACAAAAAAGAGTTCAGCAAGAATCAGTACTGCTGAGGTACAACCTGCAGTTCACTTGCCTTTAACTTTGAACATTATTACCTGAGAATTAATTAAACAGTACACTTCCCTCCCCTGTAATAGCTGCAGTTTCCATGGCATTCTGCCCTTACATAGCTAACTTGTGAATTTTAAGATTCATAATTTAACTTAAGCCATAGTTTTCATACAAAGAGCACTACACATTCAAAAACTACTGCACTGCCAGTTCCAAGTGAACTGTCATTTACCAGCATCCAGTGAAAACCCAAACAAAGCTTCCTGCTGCCTCAATCTATCCCAGATTACCAGCTGACAGTACAAGCAGCACTCCAGCAGGTGATGTAACAGGTATGTGGGTCTATATATAAACACAGCAGCTCTACACTGAGCCACCTCTCCACTCCAAGCAGCTCCAGTTTATCAAGCCCATGAGCCATTCAGAGTCCCAGAAAACTCTGGATGCCTCACCAGCTCCTCTTCCCTCAGCTCCAGGTTACTGCTATGTGGGCAGAAGAGCAGCAGGAGGGGAGAAAGAGGAACCTGTATGGATGAATACTGCAGTTCTGGTAACAAGCTGCTGGAAACCTGAGTTTAGCTCAGATTTTGCATGAAAAATAATTATATACCCGTCTGAAATGTACCTACAAATGAATATGTACTTCCAGCCAAAGAGGCACCAAACAGGATGCCCATTAGCTCAGCCAACAATAATAAATTCATGACAGGAAGAAGAGCTGGCTCTCCTTGTACCCCACTGTGCACCTGCCCCAACTGCAGACAGAGCAAGGTGTGCAGGACTCTACCCCTTGGCAGATAAAGGTCTGCTCTGACCTAGACCTAACACCTGTCAGTCTCAATCTGTTTTGTCATTAAAAGATCTAAGAAAACTCACGCTTAACATTTAATGACAAACCACCATCACTATTAACTCTTCTTCCTTAAAACAAACAAACCCCAAGAACTCCTAGACAAATACATTATTATTTTTCCACCTATTGCATCCAGCACTGGACATTGAAAAACCAAAAAAAAGCCTCACATTCCCAAGCTGTATCTCCAGTTCCATGCCTGTTACAATGTTCCTCAATAACAGCTAGCATTTTTACTGAAAAATTCTGTTCCTAACAACACATTCTGTGTTCAGAGTCAACACGTCCAGATTATTAGGCAAATCAAGATTTACCTCAACAGATGTAAAAATTTTTCTTATCTAATATGACTTGTCACACCACTTTAGATTAGATTAGCTAAAATAATTTACACTGCTTCAGGAACAGCTACATAATCCATATGGATACACACATAACCACATTATCATTGTCAGACACACCATGCCAGAACTTCCACTGACTTCACCAAGAAAATGTGTGTTCCTACACATTAGCCTTTCAAGCTTCAGCACATAAACACCAGCCACATTTGAAACATCTAAATGTATTCTTCACACATCTGAAATGTAATTGCTGATGGTGCCTATTTTTTTTTTATTTTGATGGCAGAAGATAAAATCTAACTGCTACTAGTTAAAGTAATCCAAAGTTGAAAACAAGTATCATTACTGCTTCTAAACCATTGATAAGAAGCTAGAATTCCTAAAAACAAATCACACTTCTTCATGTAACACTTCTCAATCAGAACTGCCAAAACTATGGACATGCTATTACCAAACATAAAATCATACTTACATTTCGATTAAATTTTGTGAAGGAATGATGCATATAAAACCTGTGCATGTAAACAATTGCAGTATTTATGGTAAGCTGAGATCTGGAAGATTAAATGAAGGAAACACTACATATTAAGAAAATTGTCTACAAGAACTGAAAGCAATGCGCTCTCCATATCAATCACTGCTCTCAACATATTGTCTTCAGCCGAAAATGGATTAGGGACGTGACACTTCAGAACTGATATTAACACATCCTTAACTGATATTAACACGTATCGTTCCCATCTGTTTCGCAGACCATGTGGAGATTCCTACGCCACGCTCCCCACAGTCACCCACGGAATGAAAACTCCTCAATGGGCGACATCCACGGAAACACTCTCTCAAGTGCTTTTGTTTTGTTCAACTATTCCAGTAAGGGATTTGAGGGTTTGGCCTTGCCCTGATCCATTTTTTTTTTTCCCCTTTAAAAAAATCACATTACAGAACGGCTGAGGAGGAGTTGCCCGTTTCGGGGAAAACAGCACCTCGGGTTTACTTTAGAAAAGCCGCACCAAGCAGCTCCGGCCACAGCGCGGCTGGGAGGGCAGGAGGGGAGCCGAGTCCCTCAGCGCCGACAAAGAGCGCGGCGCGGGGGCTTCGCCAGGCTCCTCCTCCCATTCTGTGCCTCAGGCCACGGCTCCAGCCCGCGGGAGCGCCGGCCGGGGCTGGGAGCAGCGGCAAGGCTCCCGGGGAGAGCTCCCACACCAGGAAAAAGGTCTCCCGCCGCCCCTCCACACGCGGCCCCCGCCGCCCTCGCGCCCGTCCCCGCTCGGATACACGTTGAGGCGCTGGCCCATGTCTTGGATGAGGTTGGCCGCCTGCTGCCGGTACGAGAGCTCCTTGTCGGCCTCCACGCCGCAGCGCCGCGAGGGCGTGTTCTCCAGCTGCTCGCGGCTGAAGAACCAGCGCGACGCGGCCGAGGAGCCGCCGCCGCCCCGCGCTGCGGACCCTGCGGAGCCCGCGCCCGCCGCCGCCATGACACCTCCTCCTCCTCCTCCTCCGGCGCCTCCTCCCGCCGCCTCCATCGCGGCTCTCGCGAGAGCTCCCGGGCCCGCGCGCGCCCTCCGCCATAGAGTCTCGCGGCGGGGCGGCCGCGCGCCGGGCGGGGTCACGTGGGCTGCAGGGGCTGAGGGAGCGGCCATGGCGGCTGCGGGGTGAGGGCCGTGAGGGGAGCGAGCTGTGGAGGAGCTTGGAAGGGACCTCTGAGGTCATCCGGTGCTCCCGTCAGCGCGGCACCGCCATTGTAACCCCGCTAAACCAGTGAACCCCATCGCCCCGTGCCCCGGTGTAACGCCTTGAACTCCCGGGATGCTGACTGCACCAGCTCCCTGTGATGCCTGTCCTATTGCCTGACTGCCCCAAAACTGTGTGTCTATTTCATACCATAGTTCAAATATCTAATCTCAGTCTGGATACCTTTATGCTTAATCAAGTGAAATAAAGGAGAAAAAATGTTAGAAGCAAGGGTTCCATTTTTTTAATGCAAGCAAATCAGCCTACTTGGAGGAAGATGTGGAAAGGGAGGAAGGAAGGAAAGATTTGGAATGCACAACTAGTTCCTAGAAAATTCGTGTCTGCTGGAAGAATAAGCTTGTGGACACTTGAGAAATGCACAAGAAAATGATGAATGATTAGGAATTGTGTGATTGCAGATGAGCAGCTCCAGCATGTCAGTGTGCAGGTTGTTCTCACTGGGCACTCCGTGTTCAGGGATGGAATTTCAGCCATGGTTTGAGTTTATGGATTCAGGGTTCAAAGGGTGCAAAAAGGTATTTAAAGTTCTGATCACCGTGCATGAAAATGAGAGCTCCGAGAGTTCTGCTCATGTTCAGTACATGCCACTGCCAGTCTGCAGTGGTTTTGTTCACCTGAAGTTACATCACAATTTCTTTTACAACTTCAGTGCCAGGTTTATACAAATAGTTGAAATCTTAGAACTAGACCAAACAGAATACTGATGAAATACACAGATGTATATTGCAGAACAGACGCCAATGACTTGCCTGACCTTCCCAAATGTATATCTTCTTTAAGATATACATTTCTATACTTCTTCTAAATGTATATCTTATCTCCTGCATGTGCAGAGGAAATTTAACCTCAAAGACTTCTCATGTGATTAGCTGATCTTGGACTTCATATTTGTGTGTCTGTAACAATCAAGGCACAATGTTTTACCTCATTGTTTAAATCACTGTGTAAAGCTCATAGAATTTGGGTGTTCAACTTAGATTCTTTATTCCTGCAATAATTGGTGGGGGATTATTAAGAATGTTCTCATCTGACTGCAATTAGAATTTTACATTAGCTTTGTTAATGAAACGAAAAGATGGAGGGAAGATTATATATATCCCTGTCCTAAAAATCTTAGCATATCAAGAATAGGTAGAATATCATCAAATAATGACAGTGCATAATGGATATGATTTATGCAGAGTATGCACATTAATTAACTCCCATGCAGGGTACTGCAACCATCCATTTAGTCACAGGTTAAAGTAATTAATACAGTTCTTGCTATTGGAGAGGTTCCAGACCTTGGTCCCCAAAGATGTGACATGGCATTTTCATTAACTTAACTGGTTTCATTCATAAAAAATTGAAGAATTAATCCAATTAAAATGTAATGGAGGAATCACAATGTATTTTCCTCTTAAATCCATTTAAACATCTGTGAGAATCATGTATACTGAAGGGAAATATGAGAATGAAATTGCCTTTTGACTTTGAAATTTAATTAAAACAATCTGGTTGAAAAATCATACACGCTGAAAACTCAATGCCTGCATATGGATATTTAAATTAAAAAGGTCAACAGATGTCCTGTGAATCTGAGGACAATAAATATTGTTAAAGCTATTTTCTGGCTCTTCTTTTCCTCTTACATAAAAAATTGATATTCTAAATCTCTGAGCTGCTGACTAATTAAGCTCCAACTACTTCACAAACCACTTTTTTTTTTTTTTTTTTTTTTTGGGTGGGTTGGACACTGTAAAGAAGGACAGAGCTGTCTTTGTTGTCCAGCGGAGGCTGGGATCAGCAGGAACTGCTGATGTTCAGCATCCTTCACGTTCAGCCTGTGACAGCTATGGCCAGAGCTAAAAACAACTTCTGTCTGATATTGTTTTGCCTGGAATGTTCCAAGACTGAGCAGAGGAACGGTGACACCACACGTAGCCAGCCAATGTTCCCACAAGAACAAAGACTGTAAGTGCTAATTTGCATTTTTCTGACTGGTACACAATTCTCCTGGGAGGAGGATGCCTGTGCACTCACTGGATAATGATGAAAACCTGTTTCAATCAATAGTCTATAAAGCAAACCACCTTTCCATTCCTATAGCAGGACTCAAGCTAGGGAGAGCTTTAGCACTTCAACATTTAAACTATTCAGCCTTACTTTTAGGAAGCATTTTGTAAGGAATAGAACACTAACCCATACTGTTGCCAAACACTAGTATTTATTGTGACAGTGACAGTGACACGCCAAGTAATACCCACACAAATACATTATTTCTGCACCTACAACCATATTGTTCAAATTGTTTCTGATGAATAAGTTCCCAGTGCTGTAGGTGGCAGCTAATATGTGAAGTCCCCACACAGACCTTTTCCATCCTGTCACAACATTGAAAAAGCACGAGTGCACCTGCACTGCTGAGCTGAGTGTGGTGGGCTGCGTTTTCCACCAGTGGATAAAAGCAATTGTTGCCTTTTATTGGGCATCAACGTTGTTTAAATTCTGTTTTAATATTCTTTCAAATTCTGTTTGGCCGCCATAACAAAGACAGAAATGTAGGGGGTATATCATTTTCTCAGCTTTTTCCTTCCTGGGAATCAAGTCCTAATAACATGGCATTGATTATAATTCAGAGGTTCTTGTAACTCCGAAAGATTAAATTTCTCCTTTATTATGAAAGCAGGGATTTCAGAATTGTTTAAAAAAGAGCCTAAATCCTCAGGCAATACATGTGCATACTCATTTCCAGTACCCTTGCTTTTGTTTTGGAAATAACAGGAGACTTTCTGATAATTGTCAGTTTTATTTTTCATCTGCACAATTACACATGCCAATAGAAATGCAAGGATATTATTGCCAAAGTTTAGCTGCTTTAGTACTTCATAATTACTCAAATTGTTTTCTGCTAAGACCCAAAAATTCCAGAGCATTTCCAGCCTTGAGTTTATCCTGTAAAAGCAAAACACATACATGTGTTTGTGCTTATCTCATATTTAACTCAAATGCTTTTACTTGTGCTTTAAAAGGAGCTGCTGCAAAGAGACTGAAGGGTCTCTTCCAGTCTTTGCAGAAATCAGTGTACTACACTGATTTTTCAGTGTTTTATGTCGTCTCAGACAGAGACTTAAAAAGAAGGGAAAATGCCTCAAATGTAAAAATCATACCTTCAGTTTATAGTCAAAATCATCCATTGAATCAATGAATTTTCCAGGTTCCAGTTCTCCAAGTGGAAAAGGGTAATCTGTCCCCAAAATAACTTTGTCCTGGTAATAAAAAAGAATTGTACATTTTGTAGTAACATTAAACAATACAGTTTAAATAATATGGATATTAATACTTACAATATTATAGTAACATTAATATTATATTTTAAACTAATACGTTTTAATTTTTTCAGATTTTTAATTTTTTTTTAATTAACATTAAACACTAGAGCACATGCTTTCTGGAACGTATCATGAAGTACAAGAAATTAGATGTATATATTGGACTAGTTAATTATGAAAGTGAATATGAAGATCATAACTTCCACCAGGAAAAGAACAAAGCTTGAAAACAATGACTCAAGAGTTTTTTGGATGAATTTTATTTAGAAAAAAATGCAGGATATTTATTAATAATTTTTGTGCTATCTAACTGAAGTTATGGTATTTTAATTCTCACAAGCAGAAAGTTGAAAATGTAAATCCCAGGCCTCTGGCATGAGTGGCTATTGCTTGATTTAGAATTTGTTATAATGTTTAAACTCTGTTACCAGAGCTCAGTACTGAAATAGGGTGAAGAAAAAAAATCATTCAGTTATTATTTGAAATGGTTTTTCTTTTTGTCAAATGCTTTTTAAAAATTTTTTTAATCTCCACTAGATGTCACCCAAAAATCTCTGAAAGAGCCTACACAAACCTTCGCCCAAAATCTAAACAGAAGAGACACATTCTATTGTTCTCTCGTATGTTCTGTCTGTGTTCTAATTTATTATACAAGAATTAACATAGGAAAATTTATACCCTCTGTCTAATAAATCCAGTTCTGAGCATAGACTAAACAAAATAGATTTGGATGTGTGTACTTTGAAGGACCTAAATATATTCTTTTATTTATAATATTCAATACCAAGATGCTTTATTCCCATAAGAAAAACAGATGTCATGTATTTTGTGATAAAAAAAAAAAAAAACAACTAAACAACATACAGCATAGACTAAACAAAATAGATTTGGATGTGTGTACTTTGAAGGACCTAAATATATTCTTTTATTTATAATATTCAATACCAAGATGCTTTATTCCCATAAGAAAAACAAATGTCATGTATTTTATGATAAAAAAAAAAAACAACTAAACAACATACCAGGTTTATATGAGAAACTGGTTTTTTAAGTAAAAGAAAAGAAAACACAGAATTTGTCCATCTGTTTACTAGGGAAGGTCATGTAAGACAGGAAGGTTTGTATATTCTTATGTACATTTCCTACATACTATACCAGAAATAAATCCCACATCCTCACTGCCATAATATGTATTTTTCTTTTCCTCGCTATGTAGATATATTTTTCCCTCTGTTTGAAAGTACTTTACAGCTAATAATGGGATCTATTAATTAATAGTAAAATTAAGAGCTGTAAATCAGTAAGAAAAATTTAGAAGCAGCATTCTTGCTGTGCTCCCAGTGATCTTGGGCTGTTCATTTGTACCCTTTGAGCTTAGTTTTGTACCCATCTATAAAATGGGGGTTGCAATACCTGTCTTTAGCAACCAGCTTCAGAGGAGTGCTGTGAAGCCTCTGCAGATGAATAATGCTCCTACCATAAGGGGAGTACTATTATATTGCTCCAAACCATATCAACAAAGTCAATTTTCCCTAGAAGACTTGGAGGTCATTTCCTTAATTAGCACATCTCTCCTATTAGAGAGGAACATGGGGCTAATGATTAACCTCAGTGGACCCTGCTACTCAGCACAACTTTTTTCACAGTAATAAGGACCTAAATCTGAAAATGAATCTCAGAAAGCTTTAAGCATGACTTCATCCTCTTACATAAGGAAAAATTGTATTTGCCTTGAATTTTGCCTGCCTTCCTACTGCCATGATGCACCTGAAAAAAAGCCCAGAACGCTGTAGGCAGTTCAGCTCCAACTTCTGGCCAGAGAGTGCTTTGCCTTTGGATGATGACTCTGGAGGAATCACCATGGGGAAGTTTTTGCAGAGATGCACTGAATCATTTAATCCCATGTCAACCCAGTTCTTCACTTTTTATAGCCAGCAACGTTGGGGACTTTGTGTTTATTTGTATTCACCTCATGCTACCTCATCACAGGGGGAGCAAAGGACTGCAGCGATTCTGCGCTCTTACAAAATTCTTTCTCAGGAGTGTGTATTTCTACTTCCATCCCCAATTAACCTGCACCCCAAACTAAGAAGGGATGAGATTAAATGGACACGACTCATCACAGCTGTCAGTGGATTTTAACTCTGATCAGCTCGAGGCCAGCACGCCACGCGCTGGTGCCAGGCAGTGGCTGTTCCCCAGGGACCCAAAGCCATGTCCAAGCACATCTTCCCTAACATTGATCCCTTCCTGCACAGCTCGGAGATGTTCTCTGGAGACCTGGCCTATTTCAAACCTGCAGCTCACAAAGTTACAGTGTCAGCCTCAAGACTCCATCACATTGTTTTTAGCCCAGCATTTATTAATCTTATATGTGTTACTCTGCCAACACATCTCTGCGCTGAAAGCACTGAGATATTTGGTGGTTCTTTAAGCATTTGACTCATGGAGGGGTGTTATGTGAGAATGTCAACTTTCCTTAGAAAAAGAGGGAATTTTTAATCTTCATGGTTATAAAGTTTGAAATCGTGATGTGAATGTTTTTGTTTTCAAGGACAAGATGTCTTAGGCTATTGAAAAGAGAAAGTTCTCCTGAGTGTAAAAAACATGTTTTTGATATCTGACTCATGACTTCTCAGCACTGAGATTGCACCTGATATCACATTGTTTGAGCTCAAAATACTCAGAGGAGAATTAAAGAAGACACCAACATCCTGTGTACTATCCTGGACAAATTTTTGTGTTAAGACTTTTAATTTTAATAATCTGTTGGCAAAATAAATAAGACACCAGAGAGGCTAATGCTGAGTGACTTTTAGATTATCAAATTACAGTCCATAGTCTTTCTCTCCTCAAAATTCCAGTTGCAAAGACTAATCACAATTAAGGACCAGAGTCTATGTGTAGCTTCTTAGGATGAAAAGTAGCGAAATTAAAGTGTGGTGCAAAGACAGCAGCTTTCCCACAACAGCAATAATTTAGAGCAGCCTTGAGATGCAAAACTTCTGATTTTAAAGCAGAAGCACCCTGAGACTTGTGTGCTACACAAGTTCAGACAGAAAAAACTTCAATTCTTCAGCAATGGATTCAGCATCCTGTTGTACTTTCCCTCCTGATTTGCTCTTGTCATCTGCAGTTCAGCTTAACAGATTCAGATCACAAAAAGAATCTGTGGTCTCAGCCAGCCTGAGTCACACAGCTGCTGATTTACCAAGGTCTTTCTAACAATGGCAAAACATGTCTCCCAACATTTTAAAATGGGTAAAAGGAAACGAGTGATCTTTTCTCCTTGCAATGGCAATTCAAAATTCAAGAGCTAGACTCATCCTTGTGTACTAAAACTGCATGTACAAAGAAAATATACTTAGAATGAACATGGTCTGGATTTGGGGAGATTTCTCAGAAAACGAGGTAACACAGGCAAGTGTTGAGCTGTTACTCCATAAAGCCTTTGGGTGTCTTGTAGAATGGACATGCACATCACACAGAGTAAAATTTTAAAATCTGTTGTAAAAAACACCTTAAAGCCACTTGCTTTAAGCTACAGTTGATTCAAAAGATAATGCATATCAAAAACTACTGGGCTGTGGACTGTGATGTGTTTGCTATTTAGAGGTTGGTAACAGAAATTAAAAGAAATCAGTATTGGGTGGGAGCCCTAGTATTTTATCTGGTTACTAATTAATGCCTAAAATTAATCCCTGCCATAGAGATGGCAAATGCCACCTGAGTTAATACCCACTGATGTTATCAGAACTTTCCAGTACTGACATCTTATTTCAGATATTTTTGGAGTAAATTGACCTGGGTTTTATCTTACGTGTTTCTAATGGAAATAGGCTCCATGGCAGGCTTTTTGCACGTTTTATGGGGCTCCTTCCATAAGTCTATTTTTGGTTCAGCGTGGTTTAACCAAAAAGATGTTGTCTTCACTCCTTAGAGCTGCAGTATACGTGTACAAAAAGTATATGTATATGTACAAAAAGTTCCATACTATTGTTTCAAGCAGTAGTTGTGCTGTCACATGGCTGATTTTCTACAAATCTTCAAATGCAAAGTTTTCCTAAAAGGCACAAGTCCTGCAGGGGAGCTGCAGGCAGAACTCCAGTCCCAAAGTTACAGACTTCAGGTGCAACATCAACTGAAAACCCACAGATTTTAAAGTGTGATACCTGAGCTCACAGTACCACAGTAAAGAAAGCAATAGTGCTGCATTGCTATTTTTGTCTGGCCCAGGCAAGTCACTTCTGTACCTGTTCTAGAGCAGATTTATTGCAGTAACCTGCTCAGACTATTAGAAATGGGAAATGCACAGATTATTTTTTGTAGGAAAAACCCCAATCAGCTGAGTGGTGTTTGTGAACTTTAGTCATACAGGAGGCCCTGATGACAGCAACAGCCCCATACTGTGTGAGTCTAGTCACTGATGTACAGGAAATAGGACTTGTTGAGACAAGAAAATCCCTGTCAGAGCCTTCATTTCTGATTTGACATCTGGGAGGTATCTGCCTCTGGCTGCAGACACTGTGAGGTGCAGAGATCAAGGCACAAAGACAGGTATCTCATTGATTTGCAGTGATCCATTGGAAGCTGGCATGAGGGATGCCATCTTCAATCCCCTCCTGAGCATTTACTAAATGAGAAGGGATTATTTGAATGTTTTAAGATTTTTCTGTCCCATGCTGTACCTCATTTAAAAGGTTTGCTAAACTATTAAGATTTCTTTACAAACAACTAAAATACTTCTGCAAACCCATAATGTTTAATTGTCTCTCTGAGATACTCACAAAAGCTTTCCTTATTATTGATTTTTTTCTGTCTATAACTTCCCAAGTGGAAATACAATTTGATTTCTTCAAGCATGCACTTGAATTTGAAAATTAAGCCATTTGAAATCAGACTCCAAATTGAAGCAGTCTTTTCTTGAAGTCCTATCCTGAACAAGCTCAGAGAAGGATGGAACTGAGGTCGACAGTTCATGATTTCCTGGATTAAACCCACCATTTTAATAAATCCATAGGCTAAAAGCATTATCAACATGGCAGAAGCCCATCAATTTATTTCACTGGGTGACACTGTCTTGTTCCTTCTTTCTTCTTCTCTTCTCCTTTTGCTGTTTCCTGGAAAATTAACTGAAGAATGACTCACCCACTTCTAGAAGCACTAAAACTCACCTCTCCTACTACACTTGTTAGCAGCCTTAGTGCCCCACGGTCATGGACAAGAGAGTCTGTGTAAAATGAGCCAAGGTATTTTCTTGGATCCACCTTGTTATCCATGGCACACAAATCAGGGCGCACGTTGAAGCCATGGGAGATTCGACCCACTGTGTATGGAAAAGCTCCTCCTGCAAGAAGGAATTGTTAATAACTTTTAATAAGCTGTAAATATGTAAGAGGGAAAAAAGACACCTTATCACCAAAGATCCATAAGTTTTCCTGACAGCTCTTTAGAAAGAAAGTGTTCTTTATTCTTTTACCTTCATTAGCTTCTGTCTCTGTTTTTCTCACTTCTTCACTACTGTGATGCCCAAATTCCTCCTGCTGCTTTCTTAAGGTCCCTTTCCTTAAACCACCTGCTGCCTCCCCTTCCTTTTTGTTTTCCCTTAACTGTTGTACCAGTTCAAGCCCTGCAGGCTAGAGAGTGTTCATAAAAGCAGCTGATCTGTCAGACTGTTTTCTTTGGGGTGACAGTGCTCAGCTGGTGGCAGGCTTCACGTGGCGACCCCATTAGCTGAGATGCCAGAAAATACAACTGTGCCATGCTCAGCCAAAGAACAGGAGTTTCACATGGTACACTACTCACCTCCATGTGCAAAGCAAACTTTCAGCTTAGGGAATTTTTCAAAAATTCCTCCCATAATCATGGAGCAAATGGCCATGGTTGTTTCTGTTGGCATGCCTAAGAAGAAAAACATCTTAATTGTATAAGAGCTTTACTTTTTAAACGTCCTATTTGATTTTTAAATGTTGTTTTAATTGTCTTCCATTAACCTTGAGCCAACTGAAAAAGTGATAGTTGCAGGGCAGCTGCCAAAGGTCATGCATTATTTCCACTGGAGGGACACAGAGTTGAGCTCTAATTAACTGAAAGGAAAACACAGGCTTGGAAGTGAAGGTGTTCTGAATTCTAAGTACAGTTCTTACTCCATACCATTAGGACAGATGAGTATATAGACAGGTTGGATATGTCCTGAGATACCCTGTACAGGCCTGATTCCCGTTATCCTTGCTCAAAAACAAGTCTGGAATATGCCAGGGTGTCTTCTCACCTCTGCTTGTAGGTTTCTTTTGTGTGGAAAGTGGAGCAGATATGTTAATGATATTCCAACATAAATTTGGGGTTTGGTTACCACATGATGCCAGATCCTACAGTTTAGAACTAATCTGTCTCTCTCTTTGCTCTTGGCTGAGCTGGATGCTCAGTTAGGAAGAGAATAGGAATTTAGTTTCCTACAGCAGGCCTCAGCTTCTGATCACACCCAACATATTTAGAATATCATGCCATTTTAAACACCCAGCTTCAGACATGCAGCTTGAAATCAGGAATTGAGTTCCCCTCATTTATGGGGGAAACAACACCTATCCAGCTCAAAAGGTTATTTTTATTAATGTTTTACCATACACTCAGATGCAAAGCATTATTAGGCTTAGTAAGAAAATATTCTATTTTCACTTTGTTAAGTAAATGCAATAATTTTATTCTCTTCTTAAATCTGTGTTTTTGAGCCTGATCTCATTAAGACTGATACTTTTTCAAGATAATGCATTAGTGACTGGGACAGCATGATTTTCCAAGCAGAATGTGTATTGTATATATGTTGTGTATGTTTTTCAGAACTGGTGGTAGTGCAAAACCGTGCAAAAAAAACCAGCACAAAACAAAATGCATGAGGGTAGAATCAGGTCTCAACATTTCTGGGTAGCAGAATAACCATGCTCCTGTTATTCAGTGTTATGATTTACTATCAAATGGGGAAAAATGGAAACTTGATAATACCCCACATCTACTGAGAGCTTTCAAAGTACATGTTGCTTCAGCTACAGCTGCTGTAAAGTTAGATTTATTTCCTCTCTGATCAACCTGTTTCTAAGAAATAACCCAAGAAATTATAGGAAAAAATGGTTTTGCTTACTCCTTCATTTCCTCCTGTTATTTTTGAGGAGCTAGTTTCTGAGATGATTCACTTCTTCCTTGTTATCTGCTCCTTGTATTTAGGGCAAAAGAGAATACTATATTCTGTTGCTAGTCTGAATAAATTTAATTCTAAGTGTTTAAAAGAAAAGCTAAACAAGCTTAGAAACAAATGACTGCTGAATTTACACAATAGACTTAATCACAATACTAGATTAAAAAAAAAAAAAGAAAGTTTGACAGGAAAAATATGTAATTTTCTCTGTACTTGTACTTTACTTGGCAGCAATCTTCTGGGCATAATCCAGTTCATAAATGTAAGTTAAGAAAAGTAAATATACACTTACCTATTAGCCAGGGAAACCAGTATTTGGACATCCTCCCATCTATCTGCATGTCCCAGGGATGCACAAAGAGACAACAATTTAATTTCTCAGCAGCCTGCAGCAAAAAGAAAAGTTTAAATCTTGACTAACCATAGCAAAATGCATGTTAGATCTTAGTCATTCTTTTCAATGACCTGCAAATCTGTACTGAGCAGTAGTACTAGTAATGAAAATAGGCCCACAAGTAAGAACTATAATCAATAGTTGGCTATATTTACTTCTCTGGGCCATATTCTGAAGTCCTCACTCAGTTTCACAGCTCTTCCTGTGACTACAGGACTGGAAGCATAGATGAGCATAGACCTCTTTAGTGAACCAAGTGATAGAATCATTTGAGAATGGTTTTGCAGAATTGTTCCAGCTACATTCAGAAATTTTGAGTTGCACTACATTTGTCCACATTGGCCCTCTGCCTGGCTTAAAAAAATTCAAAAATATTCCTAATCCTTCCTAAGAATTCAAAATCTGGCTGTATTCTGATCAATAATCCACCTCCACCCAAGTAGAGTAATTTTTCCAAAACTACTGACATCTTTGGAAAGGCAAACAGAAGACTAGTGTTGGATGCTGACTCTGACTGTAATTTAACTGTGTGCTTAAATTTAAATACACACTCATCAGAGTCATTCATGTGCTTAACCAGGATTTAACAGCTTCGTTTTGTCAGATGTATTTCTGGACATGCTCTTGTTGCTAAGGAGATTATCACACATTTGAAAAATATGGGTTTATTTACCCATACATGCATAAATAAAAGCTGCAACTTTTGGATCATGGAGAATAATTGCCATCTACATTTGTAAACTAAAAATAGCAATTCAATAACTGGCGTGGTAGTTTGGCAAAGTTCATTATCCAATATGGCTTAATTTCATAATCTGTATTATCCAGAGATGTTTCTAAAAATGAAAGGGGTTACTTCCTACATGTGTGAAACATAAGCTGAAGGATGTACAGTATAAGAGAGAGATCCCAGAACAAGAGAGGGATCTCAGTAGCAGAGACATGGAGTTACTGGAGAGACTTCCAAGATGATGAAAGGACTGAGCATCTCTCCTGTGAGGAAATGCTGAGAGAACTGGGACTGTTTGTCCCCTAGAAGAAAAGGTTCGGTAGAGATCAGGCAATTTCAGGTTGCCCAGAGGGATTGTGGAGTTTCCGTCCTTGGAGATTTTTAAAAGCCACCTGGGCATGGTCCTGGGATCTGCCTGTAGGTGGCCCTGCTTGAGCAGGGGGCTGGTCCAGGTGGGCCCCAGAGGCCCCTCCCAACCTCAGCCATGCTGTGATTCCATAAATGTGGGCATCTCCAAGAGCAGATGTATCTGACTGTATATGGCCATAAAAACAAGTAGTCCAGGTGCTGCACCAACAGAGTTTTTGAATAAATTGAGCATCCTGCAAAATAACCTCTGTGAATCAATTCCAGGCTGACAACTCTAATAACTTGAGAATCAGATTCAGAATGGACACTGATTAAACCCCTAATTTAGATAAATGACCACCCTCATCTGGATCTCAGGCTATTTAATAAATGCTATCTATTAATTCATTTGATAATCAATACATTTAGTTTGGGAATTTTGGTCCTGTTTACATAGTTCTGTGTGGTACTTTGGTGCTATCTCAGGTATCTCTGATAATCTCAGAGGAGTTTATCAATAGGATTGGATACAGTAATTTGAACTCAAATGCAAACAGTGCAGAAAGGCTTTATTTGATATTGCACTTATCCTCACAAATCAAGGAGGCAGATCGACAGTGAGAACCTGTATAATAAAATAAAATTTGTTATTCATTATTATAAAACATTTTTCAGAATATGCTGTATCATTGCCATTATTCCTATAAAGAATTATCATTTACAATTAAAGCTGAGTCTCTCTGATCACTAAGCAAATTAGAAGACTCCAATGATGATTCAATGCACTCCAAGATATTTTTAGACAGATTTCTATATCACAGAATTCCCCCAAAGAAGGAAAGCAACAGCTACTCACAGCATAAATATCATAGAGCTCTGGGGCATTCAGGTCCCATTCATTGACATGAGATCCAATCTGCACTCCAGGAAATCCAAGTTCATTCACACAGCGATGCATTTCCCTCACAGCCAGCTCTGGAGCTTGCAGAGGTAATGTGCCCAGCCCAATAAACCTCTTGGGGTACTTCTTTACTGTAGCAGCTAAATCATTATTTAATATCTGAGCAAGATCTAAAGTGTCCTGAGGTTTGGCCTGGTAAGATATGAAGCAGAGCAGTACATTTAAATATAGTTCTCAAATGTTATCACCTTTGGAAGTTATTGGATAAATGTCATAGCAAACAACTGGTAGGGTTTGAATCCAAGTTTGCTTTACAGTTCTGAATAGCTGGAAAATAGTAGGGCTACATTCTGCCTCGCTTTAAAACCTCTGGGTACAGTTCTGCTTTTTCTCTTGAATATTTTATCAACTGCTGTTGCCTTTACTGCTGAGGATGAGTGCAATAAAGCCCAGGTTGCTGATGCACATAAGTACCTGGTCTTTTGTGTAAAGCAGTCCCCTGGTTTTGTTTATCCCCATGCAAAAATCTCAGTATATAATTTTTAGACATAGCAATGAATATTTACTCTCCAATTACTGGAACTGAAGAAATAAAAATAAGAAATGGAAGATGCTGGAACATGTGAATTCTACAGAGAAAACTTGAGCAAAGTTCTCTAACATTAAGAAGGAGATAACATCCGTAATTCTAATAAGGAAGTGCAATATCCATGCAATCAACCTCCGTTTCCAGCCCCCGCCCCCGCCCCCAATACATATTTAATGGAAAACATTCCCTTAGATACCAGAATAAAATTTTGAAGAGATGTTACTAACTAGAAATTCTGAATATCAGTGGTATTATATGTGGGCTTAGCACAATAGTTCTAAATGCACAAATCCATTTACATATAAGCATTGTGACCTGACATTGCTAAATAGTCAAACCAGAATACGTTGGGAACAACATTTTGCTGTGATTTATCTCCTCAGCCCGTCTTTATTTCTTTGAAGCATTCAAGATCACCACGTGGGGAACATAGGAACTTAAATTTGCTCCTGAATTTTAAGATTCAAAGCATTCTAGGTTAATGAATCCCATGCCACATTTAAAAGAAAGTGGGACAAGGCCACAAATACATCCTTTATGTCTTTTTTTTTTTTTTCCCTGAGAAAGTACTGATTGATGTCTAGCTTTCATGAAATGTGTACATATATGTCTGCCTACTAACCATGGGTTCATGTTGGATATATTTTTTCTCTCCATTTCCAGCTGCCTCCATAAGAAATTCAGTTGTTGTTTTATCTTTTCTCACTGGGTGTGCTCCCGTGTGGAGCTTTGCCAGGACATCCTGCAGACATCTTCTCATACCTGAACTCCTTTTTTGCCTTTTCGTTTTCACAGCAGAACAATTCTAGTGACTGCTTCAATTTATAGGAAGATGCCTTTGTATTTTAAAAATGTTGCTACATATGAATTACAAAATATGTTATTTGGAACCTACCCAGTAGCTGAACATTACAGGGACTGTGGACAGGACTTGGACGGTGACTCCTGAGTAAGAAAAAGCAAATATTAATGTTTCCTTTTTTATTGTCTGTTTTTGATAAATGTTATAAATAAGAAAGTACTTTGGTTTGAGAGGCAGAATGTAAAAGCTTTAATGATAAGATAGAGTGATTTAACAGTGACATAGAGAATTTTTTTTTTAATTAAGGATTATGGCAATAAACCTCATAGTGTATCAATTTATTAGGATTCAGATATTTTTTCTAAGTAGAAAGAAAAAACACTACCATATTCATACTAATTAATTCTTGAAATTAGGGTTTTTGATTTTAGAAGGATTTAGTATGCACATGTACAAATAATTAAAATAGCAATTTAATATTACTCTCACATGAATGAAACTGACATTTAACCAACAGAATACACTAAATCAAATTTACTTTGGGGTAAATTTGTCATATATATTAAATAAATAAATGAATTAGCCCAAAGATAAATAACATTATGTTAACAACGGTTGTTAAACAATGTTTTCCTAAGTGTTCCCAAAGCTATATTGTGTTAGGTCTCATTCATCTTGTGTCTGGACTACTGAGGTTGTAAATATAAAAAAATCTGCCTGTTTTCAGAAATAACTTTGATTTTAAAAATAAAAAGAATTAACTCCATGTTGTTTTGTTTCTGCTCAAACACAAATCTCTGTTATAATATTTTGTGTGACAGGTTACAGGAGTGAAAACAACAAACCTGGCAGACAAACAAAACAAACAATAAAGAGTAATTAGGACTTCACAAAATAGTTATATGCAAAACTGCTTTGTTTTGGTGTTTCTTTAGGTTTGTTTGTAATATTTTTGCACATATCTTGTCATGCTTAAAAAAATTTAACTTGGTTGTTAGTAGTAAAATTGCTACAACAAAAGATGGCAGAAAAAAACTCCAGGAGAATGAACTCTAGGAGAACTCTAAATGACTTGCCAAAATATTTGAATGATTAAAATGATATATCCTCCTCCTCAGAAGTTTAAGTAGGAAACAAGAGAAGAAGCTGACTCAGATTGCTGCAAGATCTGATTAATATTATGTACAGCAACAATGGTTTAGGGGTAAGGATTCAGTCTGCAAAATTACATAAATACTGAATTATTCAAGTTAGATCATCCACCAATATGAATACTTGATTAGTTTGTTGAGAACAGTATCCATTTTTCCACAACATCCAGTTTTCCACAACATCCATTGTATCTGCTTTCAATCCAGTTTTACACTTCTGAGCAAATTTAACATAAACCTTAAAGGTACATCTCCAAGCTGACTGTTCCTAGACATTAGCTTTAAGAAGAAGAATCAGCACAGAAAAGCCTCTACTTTTTTACCCTCTTTAACCTCTTTTACAAAGGAGAAAATAACAAGGAAAGGCAGTTAAGACTAACTGATACATTTTCTCAAACAAAATTGTGATGATTTGTGTCACAGAACTGTGATGTTAATTACTTTTACAGCTTGTTTTATTGAGTTACATGGATAGCTTGCTTTATTGAGTGGATCAAGACAGAAGTATGTACATCAATTAGACCTAGGACATATGACTGGGAGAGACTAATTGAGTCTCTTTGGTCCACTGGAGACCATTTCTTATTACTGGCAAGATTTCTTGGGCATTGCACAAACAAAGCCTTTAGCAACCAAGTTATCTCTCTGAGTTAAAAATAACTTTCAGTGACTGATTCTAGTTTTGTTCCGCTGGGAGACTCCTTGTATCTTTGTCCCAAAATTATGCCATGTTTGGAGGTTAAATTTTGGGTATGATCTATCTCAGCCTGTGTAAGAGAATGCAGTCTTTGAACTAAGTAGTTACAGCTTTCTAAACCAAAAAGGAATAAATGTAGTCCACAGTCTTTATCATTAGCTGAGCAGTAAGGATGAAAGAATTAAAAAAACCAAGACCTTTTTTTCCTCCCCACATAATTAATTGGCTGATGCCTGTATGTCTGGAGTGCTGTAATAAAAAGGGACATTTTTAGGACACAAGTCACCAGATGGTGCTGTAACATACAGGTTTAGATTTTTTTTAACCAAGTGAGCACTGTTTAGTTCATGAAGAAATATTGTGATGCTGCTTTCATGATACATTTTCTTTTCTGGAGAGCTGCTGCAAAAATTTGAAAAAACAATATCCTCCTGTGTTTTCCCTTTGTCTACAACAAATATATGGGGCAGAACTGCTTTGTAGAAACTTGCCATTAGTGCTGAGGGAAATATCTGAAAGAGAAAGATGCCCAAAGGCTATTTATGATCCACTGTGCAGTTGAGTGATTTGGTAATCCCCAAAATCCCTGAGCTAACTCAGAGAAACATTACAGCCTAGTCAAGTCATGACTCTATGATTCTGTGACAAGGCAGCATATTTCAGAGTTTGCAAAGTCTTTTTGGCATTCCCATTAAATGTCTAATGGTTGGAGTTTCAAATACTGCTTTTCCAGGGTGAAAATGAAGTATATGAAAATTGTATAAATTGTATTTACCTAAATTGCTCACTACCTGGTGGGTTCTCAAGCTAGCCTACGTTATGTGTTGCATTAAACCTCCCTAAGAAGAATAACCCAGACTATCTCCTAACACAGAATCACAGAATTATTTAGGTTGGAAAAGACCTCTAAGATCATTGATCCCAACCATGAATCCAGTTCTGCCAAGCCCGCCACTGAACCGTGTCCCCAGGCACCACATCTACACATCCTTTAAATCCCTCCAGGAAAGGGGACTACACCAGGGCTCTTCTAGGGCTTGACAACCCTTCTAGTGAAGAAATTTTTCCTAATACCTAATCAAAACCTTCCCTGGTGCAATTTCAGGCCATTTCTTCTTGTTTATTATTTGGAGAAGAGACCAACTCCCCACTGGCTACAACCTCTTTCATGTGCTTGTCAAGGGTGATAAGGCCTGAGAGGAGGAAGAAATAATCATAAAGATGCTACTTGTACAATATCTGCTCTTTTAAGCAATTCTAGTGTTTGTTCCATATGAAAAGTTGAAGATATTCAAGTTGTGTCCACTGGGAAACTGATGTAGGAACTATTCAGGACTCAATCTAAGAAAAAAATTTAATCTTTAGTAACATAATATTTCTCTTACAAGAGTAATTTGGAATTACAGTGTTAATAAGAACTAGCAAAAATAATCGATCTGCCTAGAAATTCCTTTCCCTCATCCTCAGTCTCCCATCTTACCAACCTTATTTAGTGGCTTGCATCTAACATGATGGAAAATAAATTTGCAAATTTGGCATCTGGTTAAATTTCTAAATGAGGAAAACTCCTTTTTCTGACAGAGCAATTTTACCAGTTCTCTAGACTCAGAGTCCTAGAGCAAAACCACAGAATGAGGCTGCAACATGGCTAAACAGAAAAAAGGTATTAGAAAAGGAAACGGACAAACAAGAAATCCTATGTGTAAAAAGAATGTTTTTAATATTTGTAAGAAAAATGAAAGGGCTTCCTCCTCCTTTGTGAATCATTTTAACTGGAATGTATGGTGCCATTTCAAGTCCAGGGTCAGTCATCCTTACTTTTGTCAATGAGTTCCTTAATGCCTTAAATCCTACCAAAATTTAAAAATTCTAGTGGGGAATAAATTGCTACTGAGAATGAGGAAAGTTATGGGCACAGGTTCCTTCTGAGTATAAAGCACATCAGTTACCAATTACTTTCAACAAATTTAAATGAAAGAACTTTTATGTTAAACCTTTTTTTGATATTGTTGTTGAACACTTTCATATGGACTGACAGAGAAGTTGTTATTCTAAGTGAAGCACAATGATTTGAGTTCCTTTGTGGAGGTACCTGACTGGTCCATCTCTTTAATCCGTACTTCTGGATCCCAGCAGTTCTCTTGAATAACTCTAAAAACCTTTCCATCCTTCATCATCTTTGCCTGTCCCTGTGAAATGACATTTTCATATATTATAAATGTGACAAAGTAGTACCTGCTAATTTATAGTCTCTTGATATATTGTGCTCCTTACAGAAATTCAGTGGCAAAATTTTGATCTTTTATTTCTATTCAGTAGGTATCTTTAAAGAGAAACTATTTTAAAAAGAGATATGAATAAAACAGTCATTTGTAGTTCTGATTTAATTCTTCAGAATTATAAAAAATCCCCTTCCTTCTGCAATGTACATCACTGTATATTTATTTGGAAGAGATACCAGAGGTACCTTAATCCAAGTTTATCCTGAAACCAAATTTTGACATCAAAACAATGCTCTAATTAAATCTGTGCTAAATTTTCCCCTTGGGTATGTGCGTGTTCTTTAAAAGTCAATAGCATCACAATGATTCCAGTAACTACAGAAATAATTGTGTAACACAGTTAATTTCAGTCCAGTGATTTCTTATCACCAGTGATACTGAGACAAAAGGAGACCTATTGTGTTGTCTTCAGATTATGTTTTCTCCTTGGTAAGAAAAGAAAAAATTGAAGAATTTGGGAAAGAAAAGTCCCAAGCAAAACTTATACACAGTATAAACCCATGACCTAAAGTAGTGTAAAACCCTTCTCATATGCCACCAATTACCAGACTTAGGAAGTTCAGAATGTTATCACAGTCATGAAATTTGTTCCTTTATCAGCCTGGAAACTTTGGAAATGTCATATTTGTTTGATTTGTGAATTGTTCAAAGAGAGGCAGGGTCAAACATTAAGGAAACTGTCTGTTACAATTAGGGGTGCCCACCAGCTGCTGCAGACACACCAAGATTTCTGATGGCTGGCACAGATGGATGAGATACAATTCACCAACAGCTGCAAGCCCTGAGTATTTCTTGGTTGTTTTAATCTATTGCAGGGGTAAATGGAAAGTCAGAGGATCCCCGAGTGCTGTGCACGTGGGGTGGGTCAGTGCAGTCATGCAGCAGAGGCACTGGGCAGAAAACACACTCCATCTGCAGGTAAAAACTGAAAGCCACACAAGAAAACCCAGCAGCTATTCCTTCAGCTTCCCTGTAAACAAGAGCTGAGGGCTAGGAAGTCTTTGGGCCCTTCAAAAAAGAGATTTTTCTCTCTCTCCAAAGACCACTTTATTTCCTCACAAAATTGGTCTTATTTAGGATCCTGTCAATTTTTCTAAAGAAAAGAACCTGTTAAATCAGAATATTTACTACTAGTGTGCTCATCTGGGGGAGCGGGGGGGTTCTGTCCCCCTCTTCTGAGAACTCAAACTGTTGTTAACCTTGACTTTGTTACTACCTTCATACATCATTCACAAATATACTGTCCTAATGAATATTTTAAAGCCCTCCTCCACAAATCTAAGTGTGCTGCCTTGGCAACCTGTCAAGTTACTTGTTAGCTGTATCATGGGTTGTGAAAATTACTTGAAATACTACAACTACAGGGTCCTGATCCCCTGGTGAAATACGTCAGGTTCTTGTAAAACTGGTTTTCCAACCTGATGGAGAGGTTTATTGTAGCCATACACTCAAATCCATTAAGAAAAGTTTAGTGCATTGATACAAATTGTCCAATAAACAAAAAAACATTTGGTGTGAGAAAAAAAAACACAGTGGAACCAAGAACTTTATCACATATTAATAGGTCACATGGACTTTACTGTTCCATTCTATTCTATACTTCTCTACTTCATCCCATCCTAAAAATTATCTAATATTCAATTTTTTGATCAATGTATGTGGAGATTAAGAGAGAGAGACATTTAAAAATTAAGTCCTGCAGGCTGATTTGGTTCAGCAAACTACATTGAAAATTCTGTCCTCACTAAACTACTCAGTCACATCCCAAATCGCACTTTTAAAATATGCACGTAATTATTTTCTTCCAGTTTGACCCTGATGCTTCTTTAAAGAATTATAAGGGAGGCCTTTGGGTTTTTTTTTTAAAAATCTTAGGAGTTAAGATCCCCAGCTCCACAAGTCTGAACAGGATTTTATTTTGCCATGCACTTTTTGTCACGCAGAATTTCCAGACAGAAGTAAGCCGGATGGAATTCTTGGCAGAGCATGTAAGACCATTATTGACTTGCCACAAAGTTCCTCTGCAGACTATTTTTAGCACAGAATTTTAGCATCAGACCTGTAACAAAATCACCAGAAATGTGTCCAGTCCCTGTCTCCTTCCTGCAGCTGCCATGTATCCCAAAATCTGTGCCATCCATGCTTTGGTTTCGCAGGTGGCTTGTTTTTGTTTATTGAAATATCAGTCCCTTTTGGGTTTGCTTCTCATACAGATGCATCTAACTCAACCCAAATCTGTATGTAATCTGCTTTAGCCTGACCTATCTTGTTGGAAAGACTTTCTCAGAGCCATCATTCCAAGTGTTAAAGTGAGATGATAAAGAAGAATGGATGCTGGTTCATACAAGAGAGTGTGAGTTTCATCTTCCAGGCAAAAGGTTCTGCTGAGGCATATTAGGACTTGGCCTGATACTACTGCATGGGAAACAGACCTCTAGAGAAATCTGTATCAAAGACAGAACCAATCTTATTGCCATTTTGCTTCTCAAGAGATCTCCTGTGAGTTTCTATTCCTGATGATGACACAAGATCAGCTCTGAGCACCAAAGAGCCCAAACCTTGCAGTGATGATCCAGCTGTACCCATCCACCGTATCCATATCTCTGCGGAGGAAAGAAGAGAAAGCCAGGGATAGTTAGCTCTCTGCAGTAGTAATAATAATAACAATAATAATTGCAGTTCTTACAAGAATGCCTCATTCAGGACAAACACTTACACGTGCTGAGCTTTGAGCCAGCGTAGCCTCACTGACGTCAGCAGAAGTGCTGAAGCGTAGCTGGACTGGACTAATGGTGTTTGTAGAGCTGGAATTTTAGTTTCCAGTTCAACAACATTCTTAAATAACTGCTTTAGAAATGCTTAAAGTTGCTTACTACATTGAGGTTCTAACTGAAATAATTTTGACACTGAAAACATTAAATTAAGCATCTGGCAGTGTGAAAATTGAGACAACTTTCCAATCTGTGATCAGTTAATCATTAGCACAAAGACGCATTGATTCCACTTTTCAGCTTCCATGACTCAGCAGCAGGAGTGAAGGTCAGCCTCTCGTCTATTAATATTTAAACAGGGAAGAGAAGCTAAAAAGGAGAAACTTAAATGCTCATTGATTCTTTCAGAGAGATTCAGAATTGTTCATGCAAAAAATGCAAAATCTACACAAGATGCTGATTTCCTTTTACTTTCATAAATTATCAATTAGAAAGGAATGAACTCTTGAAATCTCTGAGTGAAAACAATGCTCATAATTCCCATTCCTCCAAAAAAAGAAACATTAAAAATGAAATTAAGTCAGAGCAGGCATTTGTTTTGCTGAAGTGTAAACGATTTGGACACAGTCCTGAATTTCCTGTGATACCAAATCATCACTTAGTGCCACTGTGAGCTCTCCTAATGTGGGTGTGAAGAGCCAAACCTCCTGACCTCAGCCAGAGATGCAGTCACTGAGGCTGCGTGCTCTGTTTAACTATGCAACCATGTAAATTTTATTTAAATTTATACATTTAAAGGTTTATACACATGTAAAAATACTGAAATTTTGGGAAAGTTTAATGAGTGAAAACTAATGAGAATTTAAAACTAGATCCATGCTAATTGCAGTTGTAAGCTGAGCAGAAAACAAGTACCTGAAATGGGTACTGAAGGAGCCCACATGCAATAGAGAAACTCACTGGTTTTCAACTTATTTTATTCTTTCTTCCCCTCAGGTATTAGTTGTAGGTATTGACAATCCATATCTACCTTTTCTGTGATTTTCTATAGTTGTGATATTTTCCTAGGCTGTAAAATCAGTATCCTGGCAATAGAATTTTCTAGTTTGAAGGTCCAGTATTTACAAAGCTGGAAACATGAAAGAGAAGTTTAGCACTAAATAAATGTGTGCATGTTAAGATGCCTCATTGGTTTTCCTTGCATGATCTGTGTTAATGGCTTGAATTTCCAGAGGACTCCAGGGAATTCTGAGAGTTGTTTTCTACTCTGAGCCCATTAATAAACCATTGAATCGCTCAGAACAGAGGGGAAAAAACCTAGCAGGTGGAAATTAAATTTTAAAAATTTGGTATTTGCCTCTTTATCTCTGTTTAAAGAAATGCAGTGCTGGCCCACAGTGTCTAACATTAGTGAATTTGGTCTTGATGTACATCTGTGAACATCAAGGAATTCTTGGGGTCATTTTATCTCCGTGAACTTATTGCCCTTTTAAAGTACTCACAGAAAAAAATATTTAATTTAAAAAACCCCAACATATAACATCAGAATGAAGGAATTCTATAGGTGTTTTTATGAAGTTATTGCACAAAGACAACAAAATCTGAAATGTGCAAAAGCAACCTGTCTTTCTAGTGTAGATATTTAAACTCCTATCCATTTAAAACAGACATAATTATTCTAAAAGTATCTGTATCCTCACCTACATTATGCAGTGTATGTGTTTTTCATCAGGAGCTGTTATTATTACAAATAGGGTGTTCAAATAGATATTTATAAAAACCTCCCTAGCCAAACAAGGAAACAAACATTCCTTTCCAGGAGGTTTTGTGCATAATGATGTTATTTTTCACAACTAATGAAGAAATAATCCTATGTATGTTTTCAATGCCAGGTTTTCTCATGACTTTTTTTTTCTAATATGCTGTTTACATTTCCCAGCTGCTCTCTCTCTAATATTGACTGAAACTGGACTGCTTAAAATCACAGAAACCCAGAGCTAATAGATATGAAATCCTTTCAGATTGATTACATTAAAACCTAACTGACATTTTTCATTCTAAAATGCATTTCACAGGATCATGAAAAATATTGTGGACAAGAATAAATTTATGACACTGAATAATAACAACAACAACAATAACAACAACAACGATAGGTTAACAGAAATTCACTTATACCTTCAGTGTTCTGACAACTGAGATTTTCTATTTTAAATACAACAGGCTACTTTTTTCCAGTAACTGAAAAAATAACATATATTAGTAAAATGATCATCATCAATTAGCTGTACTTAGAATGACCCCACTCCCACTGAAGTTAATGATTTCATGCCTGTGGGGATAATGATGTGAATGAATTTGTCTTACTTAACATTAATTTTGTCTAATATTTGATTATTTATTTTATTTGAAACAAAAATGAATATAATTTAGGAATGGAACAGAACACCTCTATTTTTATCAAGAAAGTGGAATTTATACCTTATTATTCAAAAATTTGGTGTCTCAAAAAACTCAAGAAAAACTTTAAGAATTGCTTCAGAATAAATAAAAAATGGGAAACGGAGCCCAGTTTTACATCCCATTCTGACTGGACTCCTGCTTTTCAAAGTAGCGCAATACAAATATTTTACAGTTGGAAAAAACCCCCAAATTAGACAAAAACCTAGAGATATTTACCCCAGAACCCTTCATTCATTTTTCTTTCCAAAATCACATTGGTAGAAATGGTGGCTGATAACATAAGGCACTGAATATCTAAACTCTTATTACCTTTTTCAGGTCAGGCCATTCCTTAGGCAGAATGTGGCTATGAATATCAATTTTCATTTTTGACGTGCCAGAGGAGAAATACTCCTTCAGTGCTAATGTTTTGTGTGTCAGTGCTGCTATCCCTGCTGTCCCTGGGTCACAGGTTATTCACTTTGGCTGCTGTCCAGATCCACCTGCTGTCCTATCAGGGGAATGGGGTACAGTGGCCAACCAGGGAGCCTAATTCCAGAGGAGTGGCTCTTCAAAAGAACAAAGAGTTTGAGCAGAACGTCCCGAGGGCAAAGGGAAAATACTTGAGCAGCTGACTGAGGGCAAAGGGAAAATACTATGAAGGCACTATGAAGGGATTTATTTTACACAGCATCTAAAATGTCAAAAATAAGTCAATAAAATTGAGTCAGTATAAATGTATTAAGCATGCTGACTTGAATTTCCTCCTTTCTCTCTCTTGCTTGTGAAATTATTTGTAGAGGGCACATAATACACCCTTGGGAGAGTCAGACATCCTCATCTATTCTCTTTTTTTCTCTTGCATTTTCTTTAAAGTTATAGTAAAACCCCTCAAAAATACTGAATTTTAGCCAAATCTATGCTCTGCATTTTATATTCCCCCTCCTCATCATTGGTTCACTCAGGATATTTACACAAGCTACTGCATAATGGTGCACCATCTTGAGGTGCAGCATCAAGAGGCCTCAATTATACAGTAATACATAGATGTATTTCAAATATAACAGATTCTGCATCCTAAGTTAAGCTTAACTGGAGCTATTTCAGATTTCCTGTGAAACTACATCTCATCTTTTGCCCTTTACTCAATTTAGAATTACACTTTGCTTAAGATACCCTTGCTCTTTATTTGTGCTGTATTTTTGTGCTGTAATTTATTCCCCCTGTAGTTTTATTTCAGTATATGTTACTCACACAACGTCCTCTTGTGAGTGTTTGTTAACACTCACATTCCCTGTTTAGTTTTTTTGGTGAAAAATGCTGATTTTTTTTCCCCAAACACAAATGCTGTTGTGAGTCTTGCAACTTGAAATAAAGCATCTTGAAAAATAAGCATATTGGCCCATTTTGTTTTATCCTTTCCTGACTTCTCTATTTTATTTGGGCTTCAAAAAAACCCCCAGACTACTGTATTTCCGTACTTGTTCACTCATTAAGCAAGTCTGCTATGGATTTGGTCAGATAACTTTCATAGGAGTTATTTTTCATGTCAGCTTCTTGTGACAGGGTTGGTTGGTTGGTTGATCTTGTACTTTTCTGCAGCAAGAGCTCACTGAAGACGGAATGTTTCAAAGAAATAGGAAGCAGCAGTTTTGGGAAAGTATTCCCTAAATGAAGCAAGACAGCCAGCAATTTGCTTTAACAGATCAGAACCCTGGGATTGAAAACAGCAATTATTTCTGTCTCAAAACCAAACTCAATCTCTTCACGACCAGGCTGCCAGGTTAAGCAGCAAATTTGCTCTCCTGCTCCCAGATGTGACAGCAGCCACGCTGTGTGATGTGGCACTGCAGTGTCAGCTTGTTGACAGCACTGCTCCTGCATGGACCACAGCTGTCAAAGAGAGAAGCATTGATTCAGCTCGGGGAGCTCTGCATCATGATGGGAGGCAAACACTTAAAGTGAGACCTCCAATGAGGAGATGTCTGGAAGACAATTCCCTGCTTAAGCATAGAAAGCAGAGTGAAGTGAGGGAGAGGGGCAGGGAGAGACTTGTGCACCTGGATAGTCCAAGACACCAAGAGTCTTCAGTCACCAAAGCTGCAGGATTCCATGCAGAGCTCAGCTGCATTTCTTCAACACTGAGCTTAATTCTCCTCAGCTCTAAAAAAAGCTGTAGTTGTTAGTTACTGCTCCCAAGACACAGCTTAGCTTGCAAACACTGTAGTACTCCCACGCTGCATTTCATTTGTCAAAACACATCATTTGGAATCCACACCAGTTGAAGGCAAAATGTGTGTCCATGTCACTTGATCAGAGGGCAGGGAGACATCTGTCTGTATCCAGCATGATCCATTGGGTCAGCAGCAGAAAGACCTTCACTGGCTGGGAACAAAAAGCTCTTCAGATACTCAGGCACCCAAGGTACTCTAAACTGGAAAACATGACTAACAACTCCTTCAAGGACAATCCAGCTAGAGACTGTTCAGCCAAGGCTGATTTCAGATGCACACAAGCCTAGCAGATCTAGGGTTTTATTTCACTGTAGGGACAAGCACTAAAGTGAAAATGGTGTTAATTGGAGGTCAGTAAGTGCTCTTTTCCAAAGCTATTTAGCTGCTTTTCTGTAACAAGTGCAGAATCTGAGATTTGGAGTCTTCAGGGTGGAAATTCGGTGTTATGTTCTGGCTTTGCTTACCGGGGTGAAAAGTGTTTCTTTGTGTCAGTGGGAAAACTCTGACATCTTCAAAAGAGGCTGCATCAACAAACACTGGTAAGCTCTGCAGAGAGCTCTGCCACATCCATGCTCCAAGGCAGCCCATTTTCAATTAGGCTGAACAAAGACACAAAGAGGCAAATTCAGGATGCTGATCTTTGAAAGGGCTAAAGTACTCGTGCCAGTTTTTCATACCTTCCATTTTGCATGCTCCTCTCTGACACCTGTTCTTGGAAGTGCACATTTGATTGTGCAAACTGGCTGTTTTACATATGTGCACAGCTACAGAAAAACAAGTGGAAAACTCTTTGTGCTCAGTAGCTAAGATGAAGTACTTAAAGAATACGTTCCTTTCCAAATGAAATAAATGTTGAGCAGCACACTTATATTGGTTGCTTAGCAACAGGTTATCCTTTGGCTGTGCTGGGGACTGCATGGGTCCTCTGAGACTGCCATTACAGACCTGCTTGGAAATGTCAGATTTGGAAAGGATGCAAAAGTCAGTAATTCTATTTTTTTTCCTGTGGTATCAAATAATTAAACCTCTCAGATTAAATTAGCCTGATCACAGAACTTAAACCTCTTCTGGGACTCTAAAGCACACAGACTTCAGTGGGAATGGTGTGGTCTGAGTTCTGCAGGGAAGAGCAGAGTGGTTATGGTTTCCCTCCTAATGAGTAATTACATTATGCAGTTCCCATGCAGCACTTTCCATGTGTAGCTCCCAAGTGCTATTTTTCTCAGGAAGACATTATTTCACCTAGCACAGCTACACCAGTAGGACATATCCAGCTACAGCTACACCAGTAAAGTCCTTAACCAAGATCTGTCCCACAGAGTGGGTGGTACTATGATTCCCTGTTCTCCAATGCAATACACCAAACACTCCAGTGTGGCTGCCCAAGCTCCTGGTGGCTCATAGAGCCAGCTGGACTGCCATGCCAGGATTTCCTTTATGCACATTTACAGAATGCAAAAGGCACACACACCTCCAATCCACAGCCAGCTGAACCAGCTTAAGGTGGCAGCAGTGCAGGTGTACTCATCATTAAATGCTGAAGAGCAGTAGATTTTTCACTTTGTTATTAAAAAGCCTTTCCAGAAACAAACAACTGTAAGAGCCTCTGTTTAGACAGCCATCAGAGCTGCTGCTGCTCTGTATCTGGAGCCCGTTTAGCCTTGCAGAGCATTTGGGTTTTTAGCTCAGGTGTGGCACTGTACTGGTGCCTCTCTGATGCTTCCAAGGTCTCAGCTATTAACTCTGCACAGTGAAGCTTCACGGTTGCACAAGCTCAGGGTGATGCTCTCCAGGTTGGGAGACCTGCCACAGCCTTTTTGTGTCACTAAAATTTGTAGTGTAAAGGTGTCCAAGGTTGCTGATGCCTTTGGCAGCCCTGCACTGCTCTGTGACCACCATCCTACAAGAGTTGTGATGAATCACACAGTGGTGAAAGCAAACACTGTCCTCTGCCAAATTCGTGACCATTACCATGTTCTCTGTACCTAAGTTAAGCCATTAATAAAATCCTTATTCCTAGAAAATATTACATAGTTGAAATTCAACTGCTATTCTAAAAGAATAAAAGAAAATTATATGGCTAACCTTCAAATAACATAATTATTTTCTTAATACACTACAATTGCAATCCTGCAATTTACACTTACCATGCATTTATCTTGCATAGAGATCTTCTACCAAAAATGTAAATTAAATAGATATTTTCTAAAATGTCAGTATGAGAAAAATAGAACTTCATTTTTTTTCCCCATGATTAGACTCAAGTAAATAAAAAATACTCTATTTAGGCATGAACCAGGCCAAGGTTCACTCCTGGGCAATGGCAGCAACCAGACAGATTCCAGCAGCATAAACGTGGGCCAGAAAGAACAGATGGAATGAAGCTTACAGATACCAAAAAGTCATAATTTTCAAGTTAATACCCCATGGTAACATCTGAAATGGTTTCAACTATTTAGAAGACTGGTGCCTAAAACAAATAAATAGTAACTCCTGCTGTACCTTGTCTCAACAACTTTTTTTCCTGTGTGCTAGATAGTCAAATCCTCACTTTTCCCTCTTTGCAGAGGCCTCTCTGTGCCACTCCTTGGGCACATCTGAATTCTGGGGACAAGGAGAGTGTTCTCAGAGCCTTCACTGCTTCAGAGAGCAAGGGAGTGCCAAAGCACAGACCTCTCCAGCTCTGCAGTTGTTTTCAATGTAAATGTTTGGGGTTTCGTGCTGCAGTTACATTTATTCATTCATCTGGAGGGGGGAGTTTGGCAGAGGAATTCCTCCACAGAACATTTTTGGAGCCTACTTTCACTGGCTGAGTCCATCTACAAACAGGCAGGTACTGCCTTTTGTTTTTTTTATTCTGACATTAGGAATTTAATAACACCCTCTGAGGATGAGCCACCTTCTTCACAATTACTAAAATAGATCCACTACTTCCTGGCTGTGTTTAAATGTGCTTTACTTATTTGATGTTTTTCGTTTTATTTGCTAAAAAAGATTAAGAAATTGGCACTTTCTTTTGTTTTTTTATTCTGACATTAGGAATTTAATAACACCCTCTGAGGATGAGCCACCTTCTTCACAATTACTAAAATAGATCCACTACTTCCTGGCTGTGTTTAAATGTGCTTTACTTATTTGATGTTTTTCGTTTTA